TACCTGCTGTGAAGCCGAGGTATACAGTATATACAGTGAGACCCCCACATGCAAACACCTCAACATTCGGACAATTCGACATAGGAACACTTATTTTCCCATGAAAAATTTAATAAAAAAGGCCCAATAATTTCAAGTAAGAAAAAATAGCTGCCTCACACAGGCGCCCAAAAAATTAGTGTTAATCTTCAACGCACTTTTTTGCAAGCCTGAGAACCAAACCCAGGTTTGGTTCCCAGGCTTGCCCAAGGACAGTTTTCCTAATTTCTAAAAGGAAGGAATGAAAGTGGCCAAATCTGGCCTTCATCTCCTAATCCCAAAAGTTGTAGTGGTCAACCAAAAACCACAAATATGACACTCTGCATTGTGCTCTCAAATTGTTCAGATCTCCAGAGAACTCTTGTGTGTGAATCTTTGACCAATTCCTAAATTGGCGTTCTTGTTCTTGCATACTCTTGAAAGTATTTCAACTGTTCAATTCAAACTTGTCTTTGCATAATATACCACTTTAAACTAGGACAATAAGTCCAGGCCGCAGCCCGGCTGTATGAATCGTGTTTTTATTTATCTCAATAGTTACAAATTTTGTTTATTCTCATCTTTCCACTTTTTTGCCTTTTGTGTGGTAAAAGAAAGTCTCTTTCAGATCTTTTCCTCACATACGTGTGACAATGAGTTGACCCTGAAATGCTTGCTGGTAGCTCACCTTGAGCTGGTTTTCCCTTTGCTTGACGGACGCAATGGGGTTCGCCAGGGCCTCGGCCAGGTCGAGCATGGCATCCGGCACATAGTCCTTCGCCTCGATGTGCACGAACACGGTGGCCATGGCCAGCGGTTGACCCGAGTCGTTCCGCAGCGGAATGTGGCGGTAGCCCGGCCTGAGTCCCACCACGGGCAACACCCGGTGACCCAAGAGCTTCTGAGATTCGTCGAACACTGCTATCCGCAGAACTGCCAATTCTGGCAATACAACCTAATTGAAAAAAAATGAAACAAAAGGAGAGAAAAGAATAATGTGCACGGCAATTTTAGGACTAGAGACCCAACGCGGTTCCGAAGTTTTCCAGCACCAGCACGGATTTTTTTGCTGGTCCCCGAGTTTCCGAGTAAAACAAATGATGTTTCAAATGTTCTTTTGATCGATAATGTAAGGTAATAAGACGAAAAGCAAGTCTATGTCTCATTATTGGCATTCCTTCCATGTCACGCCATCGGGAAACTTCTTCTTCTTCACCATGAATCACTTGATATTCTACAAAAATCTGATCATTAAAATTCAAAAATTAAATAAAAATATTTTAAATACTTTTTTTTAATTACCGTCTAGGTCTGGGATAATCTTGCGACAAAACGCTTTTTCGAACGATTTCTATGATTTTTAGTGGCACTTGAACCGCCTTAAAATTAATAACACAAAATAAAATATAACTTCTCGGAAATAAACGTTATGGTGGGATTTCTACTCTCTGGTCCTCTGTGGTCAGAAGATGACCATTAACCCGTAAAAGTACAGTATCGTGTTATTAACCTCCACCGAAAAATGTGGGGATGAAATACTGTAGTGAAAAAGGAATCAAACCTAGCATTTTTGCCCCAACATACGTTTTTGTTGTTGTAAACTTCTGGGTTTAATTTCAGACAATAAATAAAATTCTCCAAAGTCACAATAAAATTACGTCTACACAACGCATGAAAAAACATAGGTTAAAATTTCGAGATTTAGTGGATTCTGCCAAAGAAAGAAGAATGTTTTGCGCACGAAAATAAAGTTGTATACAACGGATCGAATCGCTAGCTGAGAAGAATTGATACCTCTTTGAAGGAAACCGTCCATTTAACGAGAAATGGATTCTTTTGCCAACATTGGTATTCTTTCAATTACATTTCAAACGAAAGAAAAAAACGAAAATTCGTCGAGGAAATTTACCTTTTTGAACACGAAAGGTGCTTCATCGTAAACGGGATTGATGGCGTTATTGGGGACGATTTTGGTACGAAACTTCCGTCGAACCGTGTCCGCAGGCAATCCGTACATATTGATCTCGACGAACGTACCCACTTTTTTGTCCGCCAAGAACTGACCAGAAATTACCTGCAAAAGAAATGCGGATCGCCATGAAAAAAGATGGAATAATCACGAAATCTTCTCATTGAAACTTACTTGTACTGAAACTGTCCCCGCAATGATTCCATCTACTGTGGATTCTGCAAAAGGATCGAATCGCCTGTCGGCCCGCCGCATGAAATCCGGCTTCAGAAGATATCCACATCTATTGTTGAACTCGAAAATGCCCAGGTTCAACTGCATTGCAAGGTCTAAATACGAGAGCGAAACAAGGGTTGAACCAATAATGAGCCAAATCTGCCAAACGTCTCGATTTTTCTTCGAACGACGCAATACAAATTCCTTTCAAGCAAATAATTTTACAGCTAGTACAGTATCTCCAGAAATTCCCGATGGTTGACAAAAACGGGAGGAATGCTCAAAACATTCGTTGAAATAATATAGTGAAAAAAGACTGCGAGGCAAGAAATTTGAGATTTGTGTCTTGAATTTTTATCCTTACAGTACATCTCATTATAGTAACAAATGTTTTGAATGTTGGCAGATGTAAATGGAAGCTATTCAGTTGTATTTAAATGCTGCACTGAGACATCCCAAGTTTCATTATCTTCAAGATTCCTCGTATATTGACACAAACAACACGTTACAGAATAAACCGCAGAATATTTCATTTTTAATCTATAGATTTTTGGAGAAAAAATCACGTATTTCAAATATATTTGTAAAAATTTCCAAATAAAAAAATATGTTTTTTGTGAATTTATTATTACTTTATTTGTTACATTTTTTACATCGTGTGGCATCTCGAAACAGGGCATTTCATCCAAGTTTCGAACGTTGACTTCACCACTCGCCATGAAAGGTGATGGAACTTTACGGGAAAATGATTAATGAATGGAGATTATGGATAATCATTTAAGCATAAACAGATGTCATTATAGCAGCCGCGTAAAAGCATGTCCATTTTTTATGGACTCAGCAAAACTTCTAGATTCCTCTTGCGTGGACGAGATAGATTTTATATTGGTAAACTGAGGTTTATTGTAGTGTAGTATGAACCTTCGGAAACAGCACACAGTATTCACAAAAAAAATTATAGAAGCTGTTCAGCAAACAATTGGATTTGATAAACGTAACAAATGATAATTTTTTTACACGACACATTTTTGGAAAAAATCGTCGAATAATTGTTCTCAGGAAAGCTTTTGAAGAATCTCGCAGCAGTTAACCTACATTCAATTAAAATAAAATAAAAAAAAGCCAAGAGGCGTGAAGAAAACATTTTCGGAGACCGATACACGAAAGAAAATGTTGTAAAGCGGTTCACGAGATATAAATACAAATTAATAAAATATCAACAATAAAGCCTCAATAATAATTGCAAAGGAAACTAACCAAGGGATTGAAAGTTGAGAGCCACAAGCTGACACCCGGCATTCCAAAACGTCTGCGGCGTGAAATTCGAAGAGTCGACTCGGGTGCCCCTCGGATACACTCTCGACAACTGACGCTTGTTGTAGTTGACGAATTCAACGGGGCTTTCTTTCAGCAGCGCAGTTGCCTGTGTTTCCACAAATGACGACATCTCGTAATACTTTGCCCGCTCTGTGAATTTCGGAGAAAAACAACACGAAATAATACCATTAAATATACCGTAAACACTATCAGGAAAAAAATATTCAGTCGAAACTCCAAGAGTTCAAGAAAGTAATTTGCTCGTTCAGAAGCGGCGCCAGAAAAATTTAGCACTAATCTCTAGACACATTTCTTGTGAGCCTGAGAACCAAACCCAGGCTCACCAAAGGCGCGTACGGAAGATCCGTCCCAAGCGCATTCGGTACTAGGAAGATCCGTCCCAAGCGCATTCAGTCCCAAACGGTAAGCCCTTTAAGGACAGTTTCCCTAAAACTTCAATGAAAGAACAAAAGGGGCCAAGCCCGGCCTTTGAAATCCTAATCCAACGAGTTTTCTTTGTTAATCAAAAACCACAAGTTTGACACTCTGCGTTTTGTGGTTGACCTGATCAAGAAAGTAAAACAAACAAGTTCTCTGGAGAACTTGTTCATGTACGAAAACTTCCAATCCCAAAATCGGTCCTTGTTTTTACATACTTCTTGCAAAAAGTATGTTGACTTGACTACCTTGCTTTGTGCTTCAATATACCATTTTAAACTAGGGCGAAAAGTCCCGGCTGTTCAAACCGTGTCTTTATTTTTCTCAATTGCAAATTTTGCTTGAATCTGTCCATTCTTTCACTTAAAGCAGCTGATAAGTGATCTTTAAACCTTTAGCCTCCTTGAAAGCAAACTCACCTGCGCCTTTTGTGCTGTGAAATGCTCTTTTCCTCACACACACAATCCCATATAGACAAGAAGTTCTAGCAAGCTTCTTGAATCATAACAAATACAGTAAAAATACATTGAATTGTCATGTATTCATCATTTGTAAAAAAAAAGTTCGACTTATAACGGGAAAATCAGAAGTTGGAGAAAATTCAAATAAATATTTTTTTGTTACACCTCCAGTCCTCCATACATAAATACCAAGTACCGTAAAACACCTCGAGAAGTTAGATTGAAACGTGAAGATGAAATACTTGAGTCAAATATTTGAAAAGGACTCACTTTCTGCAACCTCGAAGGACACAAAATGCACAGGTTGCACATAGTTCACCAAAGCAGACAGCGCTGCTCCGGCTTCCACTTCCTGACCAGCAGTGCCCTGAAAATACAAGAAAGCAAACCAAAAAATTGTTTTTTTTGTGTCAAAATAATGCATGTAAAACAATATACTCGAGAATAATGCAAGAATTTTCCACTTCCTGCCAGTTTATTTTATTACACGAGCTATTGAAAATTGTATTTATTAACTTTCAATTCTATCAAGACACGTCACAATTTTTCTCCGTTCCCGATGGAAAAAAATTTAAAAAATCACGCCAGAAAAGCCAGCGAAGAGAAAATTTTGACATGACTCGAAAAATGTCGTCTGCTATTTCTTTACAATTACAGTTAAAACGGAAAAAACAAAGCTGGCTGTGCGACACAGCAAAATTAATGCTGATCGAACATTAATTCAAATTTTTTACTTGCAGTAATAGTCATTCGAAGTTCATTTTTAAAGCTAAGATAACGATTTATTTTAATTAACCACACCCCAGAAAAATTTCGAAGAAAAACGCTAATGCATCAGGAATGACAAAAAGTAATACGCAATCGTACAAAAGCTCTCATAAAAGTTGAAGAAAAATGACAAACAGCAATGGTAACGATGACTTGAATTAACCTTTCTGCATCATATTTCCAGATTTTTCCTGGGCGCACCAAAAAAATTAAGAAATCTAAATTTCTTCTCGTAAAAAAACGGCGAAAGCCTAATTTGAGCTTGCGTCAGAAAAATTCCCAAAAAAAAAACAAAAGCCTCTCTAATCCATTACTGTATCTCTAATCCAAACGTATAGAGATAAAATATATATCTTTTTCTTTTCAATCATAGAAGGAAAAAAACTTGGGTTGAAAGAAACCGAACTTGAAGGATGAAGATGCTATAGTAGAAATTTTTTCTTAGATTATACAGTACTGTACCTTGTCAGATTTTCCTGGAACAGGTTCCAAGGCACCGTCCAAGACAACCGGCGATATTGGTCCGATGTCTTCTTCTTCATCTTCCTCCTCGTCGTCGTAATCCTCGTCTTCGTCTTCTTCGTCATCGTCTTCGTCGGAAGCGACGTCCGAACTGGACGACGATCTCTCGTACTCGTACGCATCGCCATTCGTCACTTCCGACAGCGTCCTGGCGTCTTCCCCGCCACTTTCAAATCCAGTTTCTTTGCTGCGAAATTAAAAAAAAACACAACCCATCATTAAGTAAAAAATAATAATGGGGAAATTCAGGTACTGTATATGATTCAAATACGTACAGTGAACCTCTGTAAGTCGAATTTTTAGGTACTGTACCAGGAAAAAAATTCGACTTCGGGAGGTTTTGATTTTTGCAGGTTTTGAATTAGGGAAAAATAACTCTTGCTGTGAGGATTAGTAAAAAAAATTTCCGGAAATAGTAAATGAGGTGATTCTAGGCCTGAAACTTGCCTTTTGATGAGTTTTTACTGTGCTGAACTTGGAGGCAGGGGTTCATTTGCTATATTTTTCTTTCAATTCCTTCCAAGTTGAATCAAATTATTTGTTTTAATAATTTTCTCTCTCATACTTCATAGAAACGATAACCAGAAGGCCTCAGAAAAGTCGACTTACAGAGGTTTTAGAAAAAAATAATTCGAGTCTGGGAGGTTTTTAATGTATTGATTTTAAGGGAATTTGGACAGGGACTTGAAAAAATTCGACTTACAGAGGTTCGACTTATCGAGATTCACTGTATAATCAAAAGTAAATATAATCTATAATTATATCTATAATTTATTCTTTAATTTAAGTTAATATTAAAAATTATCCAAGCAATTTTTTTGAACAAACCACGTGAAAATTACAAGAGGCCGGATCCGGGTCTCACGCAAATGACCCATTCGTATTAATTTCAATTACTTTCAATTTGACCCTGGTTCTCCCCATCGGATCAAAATATCGATCACCTCATTGCGTAAATCAATGGCTCATGATGCTCAAAATATGATGACGGGGAAATTTCTAGTACTGTAGATGAATTGAAATTTTAGTACTGCAGGCAAATTGAATCTAATCAAAAGATATACCCAACGATTCATTAAAAAAATCATTTGAAAATTACACGAGGCTGGATTGAAAAATCCCGGGTCTTGCGAAAATGACTCACTCGTAATAATTTAAAAAGGTTTTAAATTTGACCCCGGTGGTTTTCTGATGAAAATATCGATCACCTCATTGCATAAATCAATGGAAAAATTTTCTCAAAATCTGATGACGTGGAAATGCCAGTACTTTAGACGAACTGAATCTAATCAAAAGATCTTACCACAAATTCATCAAAAAAGCTAATTTTAAAATTTCACGAGGATCGATTCCGAAATTCCGGGTCTTGCGAAAATGACTCATTCGTAATACAATACAGGCAATTGGAAAAATTTTCAATCTGACCTCGGTTCTTTCCGGGCCAAAAACTTAATCACAAGCTCATCGCATAAATCAATAGGGCATAAGACACATATCCGAAACAGAAAAAAAAAATTGGAGATGGATTTCATCGGACAAAAGATCAATGAAAAAACCACTCGAAATGAGCAAAGAATCCGAAAAATCTTCTCAACCAATAAATTATCGACACACGAGACTCGCAATAAAATAAATTTAGGGCATGATTTAGATCATAACTAATTCTAATGAAAAAAAAATCTAGAATTTATTCAGTGACCTCGTGTTTCTCATTTTATTTTCAAGCAAAAAAAAACCGTGGTCGTGCTGTATTTCCCCTTTCAATATAAGGGGCACATACCTGGGTGATTCTTGCAGGGCCGACGCCGAAGGCCGCTCTTTGAGCCGCTTGGAGCGGCGACTCTGGTCGCCTCTGGTCGTCGGGAAGCCAGCAGGGGCGGCGTCCTTCGGTCGACGAACACGATGACCGTGGGCATGATGCGAATGATGGTGATGATGGTGTCCTTTCCCGTGTTTTTTCTTGTTTTTGATGATTATCTTCCGCATCAGCGATTTGGGGCTCGGAAGTTGGGAACCCGGTTCCAACTGCAAAGCGAAAGATACAAAAATAAAAGTCACATTGTCCCACCCCAGAAGAAGTTATCTTGAAGAAAACGAAAAAAAAGATCCTTCAACATTAGGTCCTTCACGGACTTTAGGTTCAATGCTGACTCATATTCTTTTCAAACACATTGAGACTGGTTTTAGAAAATGATCAAACCTTTCTACGCAAACAAGGTTTTTTTATCATTTGGCACACGTAAGAAATGACCGCACTTCGGCAGGATAGCGCAACACTTTTCATACGGCAACATGGAATAAACGCTGAATAAAAACTGGTTAAAATAATGAAATAAAAAATTACTGTACATCGAAAAAAAAAACACGAAATAGATAGCCGAGATTTTTAAGAAAACGAAATTCAACAAATGGAAGAAGGCAAAAGGTATCATAAAACAGCGGTTTCGGAATTTTAAAACCAGAAACTCGCATCTTTAAAAGATCAGGAGAAATTCCTTGGAAAACGGATGAAAACCTTAAAACATTTCGTTGCCATTCTACGAAATAACTTTTGCTTATTTGAAAAAAAAAAACCAGCTCACAGCATCGTATTTCAATAGCGTTTCAGTACATCGTAATGAATAATAAGAATGGACTACCGTAAATCAGAAGAATTCGATCTACGGCAATATTTTCCATTAAAAAAAAATAACTTTTTCTTCCCTCCACACAAATGTTCTTGCATCAGCAGCTCCTCTACAACGATATACTCAGTACAAAGAAGTATGTTTTGCCCCCCATTCCCCCGGGTATCGTTCTTACAAGAAGGTCCATCAGTTCAATATTCGACAGGTACAAGACACTATTTAATAAAGATTACTTATTTATAATCGTTGAATCACTTAAATCACCTAATTGACTTTTAAAACGAGTATCTGCGTGAAAAATATATATTTTTTTTAAACTCACCGGAAAACCATCCAAAGGCTGGTCCAGTAACATAGATCCGAACTTTTCCCTGCAATACTGAGCAATTTTCGCTTGCTGTTTCGGATTGCAGTGGTTTTCAAACGACAAGATCACCGGAAAATCCGATGTTTTAAATGCTGCGTCGGCGATTGCTTCAATGACGTCCTAAAAACGAGAGACAAGAGTCACATTGATTCAAAAAAACACACGCCAACTGACATTGCAACTCGTTCACAAAATATTCTATTTAAATTTTGATTTCATCACATCGATGCTTCGCTATCAATCATAAACGATAAAAAAAACCCGAGTGAAGCAGTACAATCTCTCGACGACCTCCTAAATTTCTAAAAAAAAAATTGGATAACGTTTAAGAATGTACGGTATAGAAAAAGACAACGGAAACTTGGAAAAGTAAATGCGAGGTTGACCAATAGTGAAACATGACGCTTTCAACGTGTTGAAGCATCGGCATTTATCAAATGTTGCAAAATCTCCGTTTCATGAACTTGATCCTAAACCCTGAAAATATATAGCTCTTTAAAACGAATTCCTGAACAAGAGCAAACGTTTTCGCGCGACAATATAAAATCAACGCAAACGAAAAACTGGTTAAAATGCGGCCAGTAAATAATGAGTTTTGAAACAATCAACGAAGTAAAAAAAACAACGATTTTCAATGCCGCCAAAAACACTGGCTTCACCATCATTAAAGCTACTGAAAAATTTCCGGCAAGATTTTTTTTTATCTATAAAAATCTCTGGAATTACATTCAGCGGATTTTTAACGATGACCGAAAATATTTTCAAAATCATGAAATGAGATGGAGGACGTAAGAATTTCGGACAGATAGAAGTTCATCTCTTCATTTTCCGGTGAGTGATTGCTTTCTTCGCACGCGAAAAGCGCAGAAAAACGGGAATATCTGCTCGAAAACTGAATCAGCAAATCATGAATATTACTTTTCCCTGCAATACTGAGCAATTTTCGCTTGCTGTTTCGGATTGCAGTGGTTTTCAAACGACAAGATCACCGGAAAATCCGATGTTTTAAATGCTGCGTCGGCGATTGCTTCAATGACGTCCTACAAACGAGAGACAGAGTCACATTGATTCAAAAAAACACACGCCAACTGACATTGCAATCCGTTCACAAAATATTCTATTTTAATTTTGATTTCATCACATCGATGCTTCGCTATCAATCATAAACGATAAAAAAAACCGAGTGAAGCAGGACAAACTCTCTACGACCCCCCTAAATTTCTTAAAAATTGGATAACGTTTAAGAAAGTACGGAGAACGGCAGCCTTTTTCACGAATGACAACGGAAACTTGGAAAAGTAAATGCGAGATTGACCAATAGTGAAACATGACGCTCTCAACGTGTTGAAGCATCCGCATTTATCAAATGTGGCAAAATCTCCGTTTCATGAACTTGATCCTAAACCCTGAAAATATATAACTCTTTAAAACGAATTCCTGAACAAGAGCAAACGTTTTCGCGCGACAATATAAAATAAACGCAAACCAAAAACTGGTTAAAATGCGGCCAGTAAATAATGAGTTTTGAAACAATCAACGAAGTAGAAAAACAACGATTTTCAATGCCGCTAAATATACTGGCTTCACCATCATAAAAGCTGCTGACAAAATTTCCGGCAAGATTTTTTTTATCTATAAAAATCTCTATAATTACGGTCAGCGGATTTTTAACGATGACCGAAAATATTTTCAAAATCATGAAATGAGATGGAGGACGTAAGAATTTCGGACAGATAGAAGTTCATCTCTTCATTTTCCGGTGAGTGATTGCTTTCTTCGCACGCGAAAAGCGCAGAAAAACGGGAATATCTGCTCGAAAACTGAATCAGCAAATCATGAATATTTCCAATTTTTTTCGCTTCGAACATTTTTAGACAGCCATTAATGAAGCAGTGAATTTCTGCTGACAAAAAAAAAATGTGACAGCGGCTGATGCTGAGGAAGCAATTGAACAAAATGCACAAAAATTGTATCATTTCCTGAAACCGAAAGGATGCTAAAATATAATATTCGACGAATGATGATTAAATAAAATAAAAAACATTGAGACGCCCGTCAGGTCAATAATCGACAATTTTCTGTTCGTTCATCCATTGATGCAATTTTATGAAGTCGGGTAACGCAAACGATCAATTCCCGGCAAATTATTTAGACTCTGTTTGTGCCCGAAAAGCGGGCTTGGCAGGTGATTATAAAGAACCCAGTACTGTAATCAGTTAAGTACTCGTCCGTCACTTGGGTTCCATTCCTATATTCGGCCGTAAATATTTTAGCGTTCATTAGAACATCGACCGCGCGAAGCAAGCTCATTAGCCAAAAGTGCAGCAACTGAATTTGAAAAGCTTAGAAGCTCCCCTTTCCGGTCAGTGACTATAGAAACTCTATATGAACTAACCTAGACACAATTAAATCAGATATACAGTGTGACCCCCACATGCGGACACCTCGACCTGCAGACAATTCGACATAGGGACAGCTATTTTATACTAAAAAATTTATAAAAAAGCCCAACATGAGGACACTGACTCGACATAGGGACATTTTGTGATAAAAATTACAAATACATTTCAGGCAAAATTACAAGAAACAGATATTTCCAACCCTAAAATTGATGTAAGAAAAGTTATTGGGCATTTCTCTCACCAATTTACCACACATTTAGCTAATTTAAAAATTACCTCCAGCAGAGAGGGACTTTTAATTTTTTAATCTACTATAATTATTATAAGAAAAAATTTATAAAAAAGCCCGACATGAGGACACTGACTCAACATAGGGACATTTTGTGATAAAAATTGCAAATACATTTCAGGCAAAATTAAAAGTAACAGATGTTTCCAACCCTAAAATTGATGTAATAAAAGTTATTGGGCATTTCTCTCACCAATTTACCATACGTTTAGTTAATTAAAAAAATTACCTCCAGCAGAGAGGGACTTTCTTCTCTCTTTTTCACTTGAATGTTTTTTTTTTCTAAAGAGAATTTAAACTTGTCTGTGTACTCTACAGAGGTATCAGAATGCAATTCCCCAAATGTCCATTTTATGTGTTGAAATACATTGATTAAAATCAATTTAAATTGGGAGACAATTTTTATTTTCATGGAATTATGGTAATTTGTAGATAAAACACCAATTAAAATCTATATAATGTAAGTTCTTTTTCACTTGAATGTTTTTTTTTTTTTACAGAGAATTCAAACTTGTCTGTGTACTCTACAGAGGTATCAGAATTCAATTCCCCAAATGTCCATATTATGTGTTGAAATACATTGATTGGAATCAATTTAAATTGGGAGACAATTTTTATTTTCATGGAATTATGGTATTTTGTAGATAAAACACCAATTAAAATCTATATAATGTAAGTCTAAGGGAAAATGAGACTTTACTTAGGGACGTTTCGACTTAGGGACACTCTTTATGCACCATTTACGTCCGCATCTTGGGGTCTCACTGTAATGTAGCTAAACTTTGAGAAAAACCAAAACCGTCCAGAGGAAGCTCAACAAAGTCAAGAAAAATACAGTATATTAAATGTTCGTGTATTTCGAAGGCAGGAAAAAATCGACTCACTTTGGCAGAAATTTCGGACACAAAAGTATATCCGTGCACAATGATGGGTTCCTCCGATTTCCCACTTCCGTTCCAGAAATCCAACTCCACAGAACGACATCCGGCCAGCAAACATTGCCTATACATTTCCACTGATGATCTCCCCGTCAACTGAGGACCTGTAAAAAATAAATAAAATAAATAAAGCAAGAGAATGAGTGGTTTGACTGTACCACTGGCCCAGGTGCACACATGCCATGGGTACGCCAGTATGCTTATTGAAAGGTTCAGCAATAGTTTGTCTAGTACAGTAGTAAAGTACAAAAAAGTACTCCACTTCTGCAACTTAACCCACTGGATGACCCTCCAGGGCATATGTACAGTAAAATCTTGTTACAACAAACTCCCGCAGGGACCTGAGAAATCAATTTGCTATAAAAAATTTGTTATATTGAGATTAATGATTTTTGGCACATTCCAGACTGGATTTTTATTGGAGATGGGGAATAAATACTTTAAAATGCTTCTAAAAACAATAATTCGAGACTTAGCATAATTAATGAGTACCATATTTACTCAAGTACCGTATATGTGCACCTTTTTTCACAAATTTCAGAAGAAACAAAAGGGGTGCCCGTCATAAGCAGGTACACAAATTTCAAGAAGTTTTAGGAAGTTATGTGTGCATTATACTTGATTATAATGGAGAAATTTGGAACAAATATAACAAGAAAACATTTTTGTACTGAAAAAGTTGAAAATTTATCAGATTTTTGTTCCATTCACGCCTAAAGTAAATTTTTTTATTTTTATTTTTGAAATTTTATGGTTTCAGATTCACTAAAAATTGGGGTTTGCATCTTATTTGGGGATAAGATTTTTGCAAAATTTTCAACTGAAAACCCCCAGTGCACGCCTTACTCAAGGGCAAGTGGTACTCAAGTAAATACAGTACTTTTGATGAAATGAAGAGAAATCCTTTGATGTAAATATAACTCTCCATTAAATGAACTAACATTTGTAATAAAGTATTGCTTGTCTTGAAAAATAAAATACTTGAATTATTCTTGAAATATTCCAAACGAGCTTCAGAAAATAACCCGCACTGTTGGATCTAACACACACACACACACACAAACCAGAGCAATCCACCTAAATAAACCCTGCTCCAAAATATTGCGGTAGACCAGATTCCCTTATACCCTCCAGAGAGACAGGGAGAATGGATCCCGACCCAAAAAGCACCCACGGGCTCGTGCCAAGAGCAGCGCACGCACCCGAACTTGTACTGGAGTGCAGTACTGTATAGTAAACCCTGACTGTATTCCGACCTCATCATCAGCAGCAACAAGGAGGCCCATGCTATTACAGGTCCTGGGGGCGGCTTTATCTAATGGAGATCGACTCGTAAAGCCGTCGGGTGGTCGTACCCAAAGAAAATTACTGCACGCTGATGTTCAAGGGTGCCCCAAAGGTCCGTGATTACGAGCCAGATGGGAAAAAAAAGTATATTGGGTCATTGTTCGCACTCTCTGCGAGATTGGCATGCGAAAGCTGTGGATTTCAGAGGCATGCTGGTGGGGTTTTGCTTCATATATGCGAGGGTTGTCCCACTTGAGTGCAACCATATGGTTATTTCTAGATTGTGTATGACTTGTTATCCCTGGAAACGTAGTAAGTTACGTGCATCTCCTTTTAATTAGGATGGGAAATGATTAAGATACTAAAAGTCTATTCCAGACGAAAATAGTCTTTATTCAATATAACACACAGTATTCACAATATTGACCACAAGACACAGGGATCTCTAAACCT